TCGGAACACAAATTAAGATATTTTTGATGAAATCCAAGAGCTTTCAGGCCCTCATAGACAGCAATACAACTGACACGTTCAAGACCCAGAAAGGTAGTAAGGACATGGTTAAAATATTCCATATGACATCAGGGGTTCAACTGTAATTTTATGAAGCTATGAGAATACTTTTTGTGCACACAAAAAACAAAATTTATTCAACAATTTTTTCTCTTCCGTCTCAGTCTTTGACGCGCATTCACTAGAGCAGTGTTTCCCAACCAGGGTGCCGTCTGTCGAGAGCAGGGGTGCCGTGTAAAAAATTTATATTTTTAAATTGCTAAAATGTTCAAAAAAGCATCTATTATATAATATCAATTTCTGATGTCAGAAAAAAGGATAATTAGAGATGCACTGAAATTTCGGCTGCCGAAAATTAGTTCACCGCTCAGCTTTCATTTTCACGTAGTGTGACGCTCTGCGCATTATCCCGCTCTATGCGTGTGTGCTCCCGCTCAGTCGCTACACTCGTATACTGTTCATGCGAATCGGAACAGCAAAGTCCACTCAAAAATTGAGCCGACAGGAAACATCTATGTAATACAGTATTGTTTCTGTCTGCAACAGCCCTACTGTGTTGTAACATGGTGTGGGTATATGGGCAACTCTGGTAACACTGTCCCCTCATTCATTGATCTGCTAACCGCTATGTTATGCTCACGTGTTCTGATAATAATAGCTTTCTAGGACTAAACATTATTTGGATAATTGGTAAAAAAAAACGACTGTTAGACCTACCTGAAAAACTATTTATTTCATTCGAAGGCCTGTCGTTATTTTTTATTTGTGCTATCATTATTAATTTCTTTATTTGTTCTTATTTTATTACTGACTGCTTACATGTCATTTTTTATTCAATTCAAAGTTTGAAATCAAGCTATCTTGTGCTACTGCACCAAAATTACCCCACTATAAAATCAAAAACACACTGAGTGAGCAAAAATTTGTGAGATAGCTAGTTATAATGGTAATTAAATAATGTTTACATATGTATAAAAGCCTACATTAAAATCCGTCATATAAATTGGTCTCTTCATTAGAAATTAGCCTACTGACTGCCACCATTGATGGACAAATTTTTTTTATAATATTAAAAATATCTGTATGACATTATATTCTGCAGTTCTTCCCTGTTGTACCGAATATCTATACTTTTCAAATTATCATATCGAAGTTAGAAATTCAAATATTGTGCCAATTAATTTTGTAGGGTGCCACAAGTTTGTTAAAATTTCCAAAGGGTGCCGCGACTAAAAAAAGGTTGGGAAACACTGCACTAGAGTACTACGAGGCAAGCGTGTGGTGCTGCTGACTCAGGAGCCGGCGTTCTGCCGTAGAACCTGGATGCACTGCGCCTTGTTTACAAACAGAGGAATGCACACGCATGTGTCATGGTACTCTTGCGAAGGCATATCGAAATCGGAAGAGAAGAAACCACTGATGTCACATGGGCTATTTTAACAATGTCTTTACTACC